CTCTTCAGAACATTGGGGCTCCCATGGGGGTTCCTCGGGGTCCCTTCGGGGCCGCTGGGATGCATGTCAAAGCTCTTGGGGGCTGGTTTGTGGATGAGAGCTCCCGGCGATTTTTCGAGGTCGTCCCCGGGGCCCCTCTTGTTCGGCCTCTGGGGCCGTCTCTCTGGGGTACTTTTGTTGGCTGACGTGGCTTCGTTTGGGGAGTCCCCGGGTGCGGTTGTTAGTTTTCGGATGCCCGACGAGGCAGACCGCGAACATCACCAGAAAGCCACAGGAGCACCATTGTCTCTTGCCTCCCGACACGCTGCCGGGGGGTCCTCTCAGATCCGTGGCGTGGCGTGTCTGGAGTCTCTTTGGGGGGTCCTATGACCTCTTGAGCGTTCTGTGAGGGAGGCTGTTCGGAGGCGTCGGCGCCTCTCTGGAGCCGTCTCGGAGGACGTCTTGGGCAGCGCGGAGGCGGCGGAGGCTGGATGGGGAGGTTCCGTGCGCCCAGGGAAGCCACCGCCGAGTTTTCGGCCCCCCCCCCTCTCGGGCCCCCCCCCCCACGAGAACGAGATGTTGGACCCTAGGGTAGGGGAGAAGGGGGAGGGAGACAGCCAATCATCTCATGCGCATTGTCACCCCCCAATCATTGTTCACCTTGTCCCCCACCTGGTGTATATGTGTATAGATATATGTGTATATGTATATGCCTGTATATTTACACACGTATATGTATACACGGTAGCTAGATTCGCCGATATGCTGATATATTTATATATATGTGTGTAAAGATGTATAGTTGTGCATATTTTATCTGTTTGTATGTATATGTGTGCCACACTATATCATTATACGTACACAGGTACCTATATATGGTTATGTGCGTATGTACCAATTGCGGAATATTCATACAAGTATAAAGATACATGTATTTGTATAATTGCACGCACACATATATCTACACAGATATACATATACAGAGTGGATACATACACACATATATGTATGTACATATATATACATATATACATATATATATATATATATATGCACAAGACCGGCCCCCGGTCCCCAGGCCGCCCCACCCCTTTGCACGACCGTCCCATCCCCTGGTCCCGGGGCGCTGTCCGGGCGGCGTTCCCAAGGCGTCCAAGGTAGCCTCCGGGGCACCCGGGAGACTCCTAAGACTCTCCCAGCGTGCTCCCAGAGCGCTCCAAGGCGGCCTTACGTGACATCTGGCAGCCCACGGGACGCCCCAGGAGCTACGAGAGAGTCCCAGGAAACTGTTCAAGGCAGCCTTGCGAGGCCAGAAATTGTTTCATTCCTGAGGGGGAAGTACCTTTTCACCACGCTCACCTTTTCAGTCTTTGGCGCGTCGAAGACAGCCCAGGAAAGGCCCAAGACGGGGAACCCGAGCTGAGATTTCGAGCCCTCACGCCAAGATGGCCCCCGATGCCGCCGAGAGGCCCCCAAGAGGCCCCCAGGAGGCGCAAAAGCGGCCGCAAGGAGGCTCCCAGGAGGCCCCGAGGGGCTTCAACATTGATGCTTCACAGCCTCCGAGAGGCATCCCCGAGTGCCGCACAGAGTGCCCAACCTGCCGAGTGGCGCTGCGGGGGCGGGCCCCGTTCCCCGTGGGCTAGCGCACGGTCCACCGACAAGGACTGCGCAGCCGGCTAGAAGCGAATCGCGCGGGCGTAGTGCGCGCGCGTTTTTTTTTTTTTTTTTTTTTTTTTTTGTTTTTTGTTTGTTTGTTTTGTTTTTTTTTGTTTTTTTCTCATATTTATATATATGTACATATATATATATATATATGTATGTATACATCCATGTACATATACATGCCTACCTATATATACACATACACAAATACACGTATATCTAGACACAAATATATGTATACACACATATGTACACACAAAGACTTGGAGCTGTCTGGGGGCCTGAGGTGGCCCAGCACTGGTCCCGGCGAGCAGGAAGGGGGGGGGGGCGAGGCTCGAGGTGTTGGGTTCGCACAGGTCTGGGTTTTGTCGGCCTCCCGGGGGCCGCTCATCCGGGCACCGCCAGACGTGCGCACAAGGTGCAGGCTGCACCAGATGGACACGGGGAGGGGTCCAGAAACTGCTCGCGGATTTGGCGACCGTTTTTGTGAATCATTTTTGTTGCCGATCGGCGCGGGCCCTTCGCCCTCCCCCCCCCCCCCGTGGAGTAGGTCTTGGCTGTTTGTGGCGCCTGTTTCGAACGGGTGGGGTCTCCCCCATAGGACGCGCTGTTGCAAGCAGTCGCCTGAATCAGAGGTCCAGAGCCAGACCCCTCCCCCTCCCCCCCCCTTCCCGCCCAACGTGGAAACTCTGAATAAGAAAACGCTCACTTGGCTTCATCCACCTCTCCTGACCGATTTTAGGGGTCGCGACTATGAAACTCAGGCCCCTGGCCGCCCCCGAGTTTGGTTTGCTCTGGGCCGCCCAGGGCCTCCAGAGGCCTCCAGGAGAGCGTGATCTATTTGCTAGCTAGCGATATGGGGGGGCGACTTCGGCGAAGGGGGCCAGTCACGTGACGATTCGTACCGACGGAGTCTGGGATCGCCTAAGATTCAGTCGGGCGTGTCCCCCCACAGGGGGATTTCCGACGAAATGTTAATCATATTTAAAACATGTTCCAACACGTAAAAACACATATTATCATTATTTCGTTTTATGAGAGTCCCCAGACTATTTTTGACTAGTTTTGAATACCCCCTCTGTAAGGGGACAGGCCCGACTTAGCCTAGGACTGGCTGACATGGCGACGGCGCGAATCGTGACGCGACCAGGGCGGGGAGGGAGGGGCGGCGCTGGTCACGGGCGTAGCCCCCGAAGGATCACTAGCGAAACTGCTCCAGAAGCCCTTGGGGGATATACCTCTAGGGGTCCCTGGAGGCCCAGGCCTCCCGGCGGCTCCAAGAAGACACCGCGCCCGAGGTTGTTCGACTGTATCGGCGTCTGGAGGCCACTTCGGAGGGACAACGTTTGGGGGTCTCCTGCCAGCCCCGACTCTTCTCCTTCGACCCCTCTTCGGGCTTGCTCTCTTGTGGGTGCCGTGGCGGCGCGAAAAAAACAAAGCGTCGATCCCCAATCGACCAGTCTTCACCGATAGGGCCCGATAGCCCACCCTGCCCAGGACCGTGCGGACCGTGCGGATTCGCTATCGGGGGCGCATCGCCGATCCAACGGCGGTGTATCGCCAATTCCCGCTCAATTCTTCCCCCCCTGAGCCAGTCCCTCCGAACGTTCCCCCTCAAGGACCTGAAGAGAACGGCAAGGGGTCGAGGGCTCGAATCCGTTCCAGAGCGTTCCAGAACGCTCTCAGAGCTGTCCAAAACGCTCTGAGGAGACCGCGGCACCCGAGACATCGTCCAGATCCGCCGGATCTCAGAGATTTTGGAGATACCCTTACCAGAGGGTATCCTCGTCGTAGTTTCGTCTTACCACTTAGGGTGGTTGTCTCGGCTGTCCAGGGGCCGTTGGCTACCTTCGGCCTCCGGCCCACGTCAGTGGGCCCTCGGGCGCCCACTGTTGTCATCGCGGCTATGGCGCAGGCCCAGAGGCTGGCCAGGGTGGCCTCCAGGAAGCAGGGATCAGTTCGGCTCCTCCGGCTCGGCTCGATCTCGATCAATTCCGATTCCGAGACGCTTCGATCTCGGATTCATCCATGGAGACCTTACCAGTTTGCGGATTTCCGACATCCGACGTGTCCCGATTCGGCTAGCGGTTTCCACCAATCCGATTCATTTCGATCGCCGATCCGTCGTCTCGATTCGTTTCTGGATTCTACCGCCAGGAAGGGTGCGGTGACCAGTGTTGAGAGGAGATGGTCTGGTGGTTGGGCGGGGGGGGGCGGCCTTCTAAGAGGGCAGGGGGGAGCTCTTGCAGACCATCCAGCCTTCCAAGATGCCTACTTTGAAGCCTCCAGGAATCCTTTGAGGAGCCCTATGGCCAAGCCCCTCGCCCACCCTCTTTTACTCGCCGCCGAGCTCAAGAATGCCACGCCTTTCCTTCTTTTGAGCATTGCGAAGGCACGACGACGGAGGCAGCGGCCGCGCCGGTGCCGGCGACGGCGACGGCGACGGCGACGGCGAAGGCGACGGCGACGGCGACGGCGGCGGAGGCGGCGTCGAGTCGTGTTTGTTTTGTTGACGGTCCCCGGCCTTGTATTTTTTTCCTGGAGCCGACAATGTTTAACTAACAAGTTTGTTCGCAACGCGAATTTGTTTTTGTTTCGGACCCGCCCTGGGGTCTCATGGACCGTCGTTAGGTTGTATGGGGAGGCGTTGGAAGCATATTGGACCATCTCGGATGCATCTTGAGAATAAAGTGGGTCTTTTTGCGTAGATGTCTTGGCACCGTCTGGAGGCGAAGCAGAGCGACGAATAACGACCCCAGGGGAGAGGGACGTTTAGATGAGATCGGCTTTCGATGAACACCAAAGAGAACCTACTATACAGCAGATCCCGATCCCCGACGTCACGACAAACTGCAATATTGTTTAACCAATCAGCCAGCACCCTGGATCCCATTGTTCTGCAGCTTTTTTCGAGCCAGATCTTGTTGCGAGCGTCCCTGTTTCCGAACAAGGCAAGGTCGCCGATTGTGCAAGATGCACCGCCAGGATCTCAGGGGAGGAGCAGTCTAACACGCCGCAGCGTGCACAAGGCACGGAGGCGGGTACGAGCACAGCCCAGGAGTCTGGACCCCTTCCTCGGGACCAGTTCTTCATCCCGCACTTTTTGGACCGCTCCGAGGCCTGGCGAAGGGCCCCCCAGAGCACGAAGGTTGTGGGATTCCGTCCGCCGTGAGTGTGTCAGAACCCGCGCTGCCCTGGGAGCACGGAGGAGCAGCAGCAGGAGGAGGGGGAGAAGGAGGAGGAGGGAAGAGGGGGGAGGGGGAGGGAGGGAGGGAAGGAGGGAGGGAGGGAGGGAGGGAGGGAGGGAGGAAGGAAGGAAGGGTGTCCTCTTCCTGCCCCTCGCCCCTGCCCGCGCCGAGGAGGGCCCCGACGCCGCCCCGCGGTGCCTGAGGCTGCCGGTGAGCGCGGAGGCGCTGGGCGACTCCGCCGGGGCGTCTTCCGCCCAGGCTCTCCGGGGTGCGGGGCGTCGGTTTGGGAACCCCCAAAGCGGGTGGCGAGATCCCAGGTGGCGACCTGGAATCCCCAGAAAGGTCACCGCTCGGTCTGGGGGCGCGGGGTCACCACCGGGTTTCGTGACTCCTGGACCCACCAGTGTCCGGGACGTCCTCGGAAAACCGCACGAGTCCCCAAACCGGGTGGTGACACCAAATCGCCCGAGACACACCGCCAGGTGTTGTCACCACCGCGTTTGGGGACTACCAAGGCGGTATCGTTTCACCGAGCCCCATCCCCATGCCCATCCCTTTCGAGACCCCCACCAAATTACCACTCCAGTTGGGGATACTTGTTGATGCGCGGGTCGAGAGCGCACCTCCTCCGGTCGAAGCATAACCAGTTGGGGGGACAGGCGACATGCAGGAGGGGGGTAGGGTTGTGGAAGACGATCCAGGGAGAGGAGGCACGTTGCCAACTAGTTACCAGATGCCTGAAACATGTTTCAATCATGTCATGCAAGTATTAAACCATGGTGTAAACATGATTCGAACATGCTTCAGCAACATCGTGAATTCAATGATCAAGCGATTAGAGTGTCTATTGTCATGGCGGCCACAAGTGTAGCGGAAGGGGGCGAGGCTCCTCTTAGAGGCACTTTTGTTTCTTAGGAGGCGCAGGCCTTCTGAATAGATGGAAGGCCCGCGCTTTGGCGGGCCTTTCGTCTCTTAGGAAGGCCCAGGCCTTACATCCTGAAACGACTGGCTTGGCTTTGTTTCGGGTCCCCGGACCCTCATGGATCGATCCAGCCTGGGAGGAAAGGCCGGTGCCAGGAAGGGGGTCGAGATTTCTTGGGCCCACGTTCTGCAAGAGTCGTGGCGTTGGTGGTCTGCAGAGGAGATGACTCCCCGCCCCTTTCCTTATCTCAGGAGGGGAGAAAGCACGCAGACACAATAGATCGCTGATTCCCAGGAAATTCTGGGAAACTCTATGGACAGCAAAACATTTGGGGATATGTATATTTTTTTGTGTGTCCGTGAGCCCCGTTAACGTTGGTGCTTTGAGGAGGCGTCGATTCCCCGCCCTTTTCTTCATCACCATTAACTACGGGCCAGCCCTTCGAAGTGTGTCCAGGCGTGACCATGTGCCCCCCCCCCCAGGGGGCCCAAGGAGTGAAGCACGAAGCGGGTTGTACAGTCCGCTCGAGTAGGCGATCGATTACAACATTGATTTGCCCCAGGATTGAAATGATTGTCGAATCTGCGGAAGAAGGCGTACAATGTTTGTAGATCTTCGAACATTCATAGTATTCTCGTAGATTCGACTGTCTCCTCAATGTCGGGGTAAATCGATTCTGTAGTCGATCCCCGACTCGATCCGTGGAAACACATGTGGCCGCCTGCCTTTTCAGCGCTCGGCCAATGCACGACCAGGTGCGATGGCCCTCAAGTTGTGTCCAGCGTGTGGCTTTGCCTGCAGTCCCGCTCGCGCGCTGCGTCGTGGCGCCGCACACTCCCGCGCCGATTGGTTGTTCGACAGTCGTGCATGGTGACTCGGGCGTGGGTCGTCGAGGGCTGGTGCGCAAGAACAGTTCGCAACAGTGCAGCGATCAACTCTTCTTCAGTCGTAAATTAACTCTTACAGTGGAGACCCATGCCAAGAAACACCCTGCTCGCCCCCAGGGTGCCCTGGGTTTCTTGGGCTTCGAGGGTTCTGCGATAGAAAGCGCGACGTGCCCACGCCAAAAGTGAATGGGCGCCCCCAGTGTATTGCGGCGCGAGGTTGGTTGGCAGGGTTGGGTTTCTTGTGGCAGGTGTCTTGTGGTCGAGCCCCCAGTGTATTGCATCGCGAAACTACCAACGCGAACTTCCTGACCACCACCTCGTAAGCCCAACGGTGCCGAGCCGGCCCGGGGAGCCCTGCGCTCGTGCGCGGGACGCCTGCGAGGAGGGCCCAGCCGCCCTGCCGATGCCGAGAGGCGGCGGGCCGCCTCTCTGTGCGGCCCGTGGCTGCGCCGGGGGGCAGGCGCCCGTGTGCGGACCACCGCGTCCTCCCTTCCAACTCCTCCTCCTCCTCCTCCTCCTCCTCCTCCTCAGCTCCTCCTCATCCTCCTCCTCCTCCTCCTCCTCCTCAGCTCCTCCTCCTCCTCCTCCTCCTCCTCCTCCTCCTCCTCCACCTTGACGAACGGGGAGCTCCGGGCGTTCGCGGCTCGGTGCGGTGCGGTGCGGTCGGCCGTGGCGCCGCCGCTCCCTTCCGTGCTGCCCTCGGTCCGTCGGTTCCCCTCGGCCTCGGCTTGGTGCCGGTCCGGTCGGATGTCGGGTGTGCTTTGTCTCCAGGGGGTGCCGATGTGTGTTCCTGGATACGCGCGCTGGGTGCTTCTCCCCCAGCGCGCGAAGGCGGCACCACTGGGGGGGTAGTTCCTACCCTTCAGTCGGGTCTGTCCCTCTACAGGAGGAATACTCAAAACTATTAAAAAATAGTTTCGGGACGACTTGTCCACAATTTTAGTTCAAACTATTTTTGAGTTGTTTAGAACTTGTTTCTCTTTTTCACCCACACTCCAGCTGTAGGGGGACATACTCGACCTAATCCTACCCAAGTCTTCTCGGAGGTCCATGTGTTCCTGCACGGCAGGGTTGTTCGGTACCCACACGGTTGAGAGCACAGCGCGTATGGTCAAGTTCGCGCGCCGCCATTGACCCAGAATCGGCCTGCCGCCAACGACCTGCGCTATCGGGAAGCCGCGACGGTTCAAGGGTGGACGACGGTCCACGCCGTGTGGAACCCAACGACGTCGTCGTCACGACGTGAATGTGCAGTAGTTGTCCTCTGCGACATCTCATAGCAATGCTGCCGCATCCCAGGGTTCGATCGGATCCGATCGATCCGATTCGATGGCGATTCTGACGGTCTCGATCCGATTCTGTTTCTCTGCTGCGTCGATCCGATGCAGCGCGATGCTCGCATGACGCTGGTGTGCATTCTGGCGCGGCCGATTCGCTTCGAGTTCGACTCCGTGCCGATGCGGCCCGAGCCGAAGCATGATCTTGTTCGATCCGGTGCCTTGATGCGATGTTGACGGATCCCACATCCGACCACGCGCCCTCTTGGTCCCCCTGTGCCCAGACATCCGACGGTGTGACCTTCTCAATGCGCGGCCCCAGAGGTCCCGACCTCTTCCCCCAGGGGTGGCATCTCGATCCCGATCGACCTCTGACGTCCGCAGTGCCGTGATTGGAAAAAAGCGCACACCGTCAGAGATCTGGATCCCGTTCGGGGTCTATGCCGGCCAGTTGCTCCAGCTGCGCCCATGTGCGCCCTCGTTGTGAACGTTGCTGCTGTGATCGTTGTGGTCGTTGTGATCGTTGTGGTCGTTGTGATCGTTGCTATGGCTGTGCTCGTTGTCGTGGTTGTGATCGTTGTGGTCGTTGCGATCCTTGTGGCCGTTGTGGTCGTTGTGATCGTCGTTGTGCTCCTTGTGGTCGTTGTGGTCGTTGGTGGTCCTTGTGGTCCTTGTGGTCGTCGCGATCGTCGTGGTCGTCGCGAGCGCCGGAGCCCCGAAGAGGCCCTGCGGCTCGATCTCCTCGCCTCGCCGCCGCTCGACGCCGCTGCTCTCGGCCTCGCCGCCGTCGGCCCACGTCGCCCCCGCGGGCTCGCCCCGGGCGGGGGGCGGCCCCGCGGCCCCGGGCAGGCCGCGGGCGACTTCCAGGGCGTCGAGGCCGTCGGGGCGCAGACGGCCGCCCCCCCCCCCGCCCGCCGCTCGGGGGCGGGAAAGAGGGGGGGGCGATTATTATTCCTCCTCCCCCTCCTCCTCCTCCTCCTCTCCTCCTCCTCCTCCTTGTCCTCCTCCTCCTCCTCCTCCTCCTCCTCCTCCTCCTCTTCCTCCTCATCCTCATTCCTCCTCCACATCCCACGGGGATGCCCCTCAGTCGAGCGACCAGAACTGTCCACATTCACCGATCCTGGCCAAGCCCACCCGAGGCCCAGAATCGGGGGCGGCAAAGGGGGGGGGTGATGACTGGGGGGGGGATGTCACGGCGGGGGCCATGCTATCTCCTCAGATCTCGTGGCGCCTCTCCTTGTTGCATTGCGTTCCTGGCCTTCCCGCTGGGCCGCGCACCCGCCGAGAGGCGCGCGCCCCGCGGGGCCTCTCCCGCCTCCGAGTGTTGGGCAGCGCGGGTGGTCCGAGGAAAGCAAGACACCCACACCGCTGCCCTTCCGTCGGGCCTGTCCCCCTGCAGGGGGATTTTCGACGAAAAATGAAAAACACCCCAAGATGGCCAAAACATAGTCCAACAATAGTCTGGGGACTATGTTTGGAGTATTGTTTGACCTTTTCGGTATTTTTGTTTTTTTCATCGAAAATCCCCCTGTAGGGGGGCACGCCCGACTTAACGCTACCCCTGCCCTCGTCTTGCCCTCTTTGGGCCTCATAAACCCCCTCCCTCGTCTTCCCGCGTTGTTGCGGCCTCCCTGGGGGGGCCCTCGTCGCCACCGCCGGCTTCGCCTTGAAATCCTAGTCAGGACGCATCCCGGGAGGGGTCCGGGGAGTAGCTGTATCGGTACCTTTTGGCTTTCTCTTTTCCTAGAGCTACGCGCTGCACTGAATCGTAGATGCTGCGTCGAGCGTCCGTGGACTTGAGTCGGACTTGAGTCGAACCTGAATCGAACTAGAGTCGAACCTGAATCGAACTAGGGTCGAACCCGAATCGACTAGAGTCGAGCTTGGTTTCCCCAGCTGATGGGGCCACCCCCAGCGGGGTGCAAGGGGGGGACGAGTCCGCTCTCGATGTTTGGGTGGGAGGAGGGCCTCTTTCCGTAGCAAATCATGGGCGCCTTGTGTACCCTCGCAATTTTGTCTTTGGCGTCGACTCGTGTCGATTGGCGTCTGGGAGCCGATGAGATAGCGCCGATTTAGCGTCGAGTGGCGCCGATCCAGCGTCGAGTACCCATACTTCTACCCTTCGCTCGTTTCCCCCTTTTTGGGGCCTTCTGGGGTGCCCTCGTCGCCACCGCCGCTGCCTTCGCTTCGAAACCCTGGTCAGGACGCGCCCCTGGGAGAGGTCCGCTGAGTAGCGGCATCGGCACCTCTTGGTTGCCCCAGCCCAGCGGAGGGGGGTCACCACCAGCAGGGTCCAAGGGGGGGGGCGAGCCCGCTCTCGATGTCCAGGTGGGAGGAGGACATGTTGGTGGATTCTTGATGATGGCTCGCCTTGGGGGTGCCCAGCGGCAGCTGCGCCTCGTCGCAGCGCTCGGCCCTTCTGGGGCGAGGCACGCGAGGCCGTGCGTATGTATCCGGCACGTGGGCCCGGACGCCACTGGGCCGCAGACAGTGTGTCCTCCCAATCCCCGAGACCCCTCCCCCAACACAAACGGGTCGCCCAGAAGAGAGGGTAACCTGGGGACGCACCCCCTCGCCAGAGGCGAGTCGGACGCACCCCTATCTGTTGACGCCCCCCCCTCGTACAACACCGAGTTGGGCCCAAACCTATTCTCGTGTCGGCAACCCCGCAACGTCAGGGTTAAGTCGGGCCTGTCCCTCTACAGGAAGAATATCCAACAAAGAGGCAAACATATGAGGGGGACGATCTCTCTAGTATTCCGTTGACCATGTATGAATTTGTTTTGGCTATTTTTTAGGTTCGTCCAACATGCCCGTGCAGGAGGACACGCCCGACCCAACGTCAGGGCTTGTGGTCGCCAGCGCCCCCGCTCTGTCCTTGCGGAGTGGGACGGGCTGCCGCCCTCCCAAAGTCAGGCCCGAGCAGACAGGGTCGGAGGGCCGCGCGCCATCGCCCATGCAGCATCGGTGCGGCGCGATCTGGAGCCAACGTCGCTAGCACATCGTATACATACATATATATATATGTATCGTTGGTGCAGGGCGATCCTCTGATCCAATCTACTTCGGGATGCCTTCTACTTCGGGATGCCTTCAGCACATCGTGTATATATATATATATATATATATATCGTTGGTGCAGGGCGATCCTCTGATTCAATCTGCTTCGGGATGCCCTCAGATGTGCCAATGCCGCTACCCGTCCCTCGTCGCCAAGCCTGGATTCCTCCGGATTCACCACAGCCTGCGAAACATTTGTTTTGATCCGCGGGCCGAGAGCGCACCTCTTCCGGTCGAAGCTAAGCGGGCCGCGCGAAGCTTGAATGAGACAGCTTGCGAAACACACGGCTCGTACGGGCTGGGTCCACATGCGGTCGTCCGTTGTCCCAGCTGCTCCGATTTTGTCCTCATCCTCCGCCTCCGCCTCCGCCTTTCAGTGCATCCCCTCTCACCCTTCTTCCCCCTTCGCCTCCCCCTCTCCTCTTCCCCACGAGGACTCGGTGGGAGCAACGCGCCCCCTCTGCGTATCGTCTTTAACACCGGATGCTCAACATGTTCAACAATCTTCCTGTGCGTTTTCAATCCGGACGCACTCGGTCCTTCCAAAATGGTCTTCCCGCTGAAGCGTTGGCCTCATTTTTGGATCGGAGGGTTTACCCCGTCGTTCACAATGGCGCTTTCGCCCCTGTTCGGGATGGGTCGATGTCTCCCCGCTGATGTCTCCCCGCTTCTTTCCCCTCCTCCGCCTTCCCCTGGTCCCCTTGCTCTTCCCGCTCCTCCCACTCCTGCTCCTGCTGCTGCTGCTCCTCCTTGTCATCCTGCCTCACCCTCCTCTTCCTCATCCTCCTGCTCATTCGCAACTTCCTCCTCCTCCGCTGTATGCAGCTGCCCATTTTTTTGATCGCGAAAACCATGATGGTGTCCTTCTGGAGTTCCAGGTCCATCATGTCACCCGTCGGCGGATAGCGAAAAAGTTAGCGCAACGGGCAGGGACTCGTTGGAGGGGTGGGATGTCAGATATGGCGCGAGGGCGCGCCTGATTAGCTTGTCCCCCCCCCCCGCCCTTCTCACCCCTCCCCCTCCCCTCCCCCTCCCTCCCCCTCCTTCCCCTCCCTCCCCCTCCTCCTCCTTCCCCTCCCTCCCCCTCCTCCTCCTTCCCCTCCTCCCCCTCCCCTCCCTCCCCGTCCTTCCCCTCCTCCTCTCTCCCCTCCTCCCCTCTGCTCAAGCAATTCTGGCACTAGCGGGTGCAGGGGGGTTTCAGGGTGCCTTTCACTTTCATACCTCCCCAGTCACATTTTGTGCGCATCCATTCTGCCAGCGCCCCACGCCGTCTCGTGGTGCTTGGGGAGCGCTCAGACTCCTGGCCACGCTCGCCAGTCGTTCTGAGCGGCGAAAGTGGGGCAGGCTGCTGAAGCCATCGTGCTGCATTTCAGTTCTTATCATGGCACGGGCTTGGTCGAAATGCGCTAAGTGCCACACGACTGAGTACAATGACATTTTGAGTTCCAGGGACTGCCGATGCAGCAGGTGCAGTTCCAAAGTTCGGCTTTATCTTGGAGGTAAGAAGTCTGGCAAGGGCGAAGACACTGGCCTACAGCTGAGCGTTGTACCTGACCCAGGCAAGGGCAAGGGCAAGGACAAGGCAACCAACGGCAAGGGCTCCGACCTCACGTCATCATCCAAGGCGTGCAAGCACATGCTCATGTCCATGCTTTCCTCCACGCCGGACGTAGTGGTCACGCAGGCCCTCCTCCAGCAGCTGCAGCAGCTCGAGCAGCAGGAGGCGAAATCGCAAGCTGAGGCCCCGTCTCCTGCGGAAGCTGTCCGACGGGCTGAAGGGTCGTGGAGAGACGCTAAGTCTAAGTATGAGCAGGCCAGCCAGCACGTCATTCGCATTCGTGAACAGCTAGATCGTGCGGTGGAGAAGGAGAATGATGCCATCAGGATCCTCGCAGAGGCCGAGGTCTCGCGCAAGATTGCCGCGCGCGCCTTGGCTGCAGCCGTTCTTCCAGAGCAGCGCATCAACGAGCAGCAGGCCGAGAAGCAGGCTGAGAAACAGTTTGCTGAGTTTCATTCAGTGGGATGACGTTTTCTTCCAGCAGGTCGAGAGCGGGGAGTCCGAGTGCGAGGATCACGAGAAGGAGCAGCTCAAGAAGTTACATGCTGATTTCCAAGCCACCCGCTCGCAGATCAACTCGACGAGCGAGCAGCTCACGGCATGGAAAGAGCGTGTGATGTCCATGAAGGAGGCGATCACCACTCGCATGCTGAAGAAGAGGAAGAACCAGGAGGGCGAGGCCGTGGCGGCGGCGGCTGGAGTTGCCGCTGGCAACGAGGGCGCGGGGCCGCGGCCTCCTGGGCCCAGCGGAGGTCCAGTGCCTGGCGACCAGCCGCGCGGGCAGCCGCAGCAGCAGGCGCCGACGGCAGACAGCAAGGAGAAGGCAGTCGAGGCCGAGTTCGAGCGGATCAAGGTGGCTAAGGCGGCTGGCGTGGCAGCGGCCGCCAAGGCCGCCACGGTGAAGGCTACCAAGGAGGGCGAAGCGGCTGCGTGAGCGACCAGCGCCCCCGTGGGCGCCCAGCTGGCCCGCGGGGGCAGCTCTGCGGAGCTGGTCGGCTCGCCTCAGCCGCTTGCGAGTGACTGCGCATCAGTGGGGGATGGCGCTGCCACGCAAATGTTCTTCGCTAACATCACTATCCTGGGGGGAGAAGTCATGGAGCTACATTCAGGAGCTTCATCGTCACAAGGTATTTCAATATTTTGGATTCTGTGAGACGCATGTGGGTGCACGAGCTGAATCTAGTTGGGCATCCAAGTTTCGTCGCGACAAGTTCAAGGCACTGACGAATCCTGTGCGACCGTCAGGCCGACCGTGCACGACGGCTTCGGGCACATT